ATCTTTCTTCTCTTCTTTCTTAATGAAATTGAATTAAGCATTCTATCAATCATGTTGGGTGCTCTATATCACAAATCTGGGAGCTAACATTAATATACCTACCTGTGGAAGGAGACGCCACCATAGCTGGGGGTCATAGCATTTGTTACAGCCCAGAAGCCAAGAGCAAGGACACTCGGGTCAAGAACTGTATTCAAATCCTGGCCTGGGCTGTGCAGCACTGGTGGTACAGTGGCGAGCACAGTGGCCTTCCAATCTTGCTGTCATTTACAAGTTGTGTGGCCTTGGGCCAGGTTACCTTTCCTTGCCTCAATCTGTTCATGGTTAATATGGGAGATAAAGAATAATCAAAATGTCCTTTAACAGGTGAATAACCAACATGTGCCATGCCCATACAATGATTGTTATCAATAAAAATGAACAGGCCAATGATATATGCAACAACCTGGATGAATCTCAAATCATTACAAGTGAACAAAGCCAGACACAAAAGCATATATATATATAAAAATTCCAGAAAACGCAGACCACTCTATCGTGACAAAAAAACAGGTCAGTAGTTGCCCAAGGACAGGGGTAGAGGAAGGATGAACTGAAAAGTGACATGAAAGATTTTTGGAGGTGATGAAACTGTTCTACATACTGATTGTGGAGGTGATTTCACGGGACATATTCACCTGTCAAATTCAAACTGTGCACTTTAAATGAAGGCCCTTTATTATATGTAAATTAGACCTCAATATAGTTTATTTTAAAACACTTTCCCATAGATTTATTTTTAGAATTAATGAGAGAAAAAAATGTGAACCACTAGGCTTAGGAGCTGGTACATGGTCAATGTTTGGTAATGAATGGTGAGGCAGTGATGCTGTGGACACCATGGCATCAGAGCAGAGTGTTCTCTTGGGAGTCAGACCAGAGTTCCCCTCTGAGCTACTTTGTATAATAATCTCTAAGCCTCAATTTCTTAACCTGTCAAATGACAGGTTAGGACAAGACAGACTACACAGCTGCTTAAAGCTACAACAATTTGATTCTAACCGATGGCAGCCAGCACAACCTTCTAATAATATGCATTTATGATGTGTGTAAACTGTAGTATTCAGAAGGCTTTGCTGTAACATTCAATAGTTACTCCTTGAAATGTGTCATTTTTCACACACTCAAATAATTGGAGAAAGTAGTATTTCAGAAGTCCATTGAAGGGAGTTGGGAAAAGTGCAAGGAAAGGTGCGGAGAGGCCTGGAGAAGAATACCAGTTGAGTAAACCTTCTGTAGCCATGAATTTAATAAGCATCTCAGAGTTGTCAGCATCATAATTTCCACGTGTACTGCTCCCCAACCGCCTAACAGCTTTGTTCAGTCTGGCAGGGGCCCTGCCGCCTTGAGTCCTTTGGCACATCCTCCTGGATGGTGCCCCTGCTCCCCTAAGCAACCAACGGCAATAGCAACAGGCAAGTTGTGAGGACAGGCAGGGCAAAGTGTGGCCAGCAGCCACCAATCACCAAGCCACCACAGGGCCCAGTTAACACTGCAGAGGACATCCTAGGTACAGATCTGAGAAAACAGATTTGGGGAACAGAAAGGCAGAACTCATTGGGAATGATTAGTGGGTGGAGAAGTGACAAGGAGTTTAGTGAGTAGAGCTAAGGAGAAATATCTGGCAAAAAGAAATGAGCTTGTCACTAAGAGATCACAGGATAGCAAAGAAAAATGCTGAAGAACAATGAGAGATGCTCATATGCTCTTAACAAGTCTGAGAGGGTAGACTGATTCCTGACCTCCAGTGACTGCTTAAACCCCTTTGGAATGAGATGAGGCAGAACTTTCCACACAATCCTTTCCTCTCCAGTCCTGAGTCCTGGCTTTAGAGGCGTCACACCAGGGTTGTCAAACTTCAGTCTGCAAAGCAATCATTCAGGGAGCTTATTGAGATTCATGCACCCCCTCCCCCCGGGCCCCAACTTGGTGAGTGGCCTGGGAATCTGCATGGTAAACATCATCCCAGAATATTTCACAACTGTCCTATATGACCCTTGTCCCGATCCTGTGAGTAGCTCTAAAACACAGGTAATCATCCAAGTTTTACTGATTTATTTCTCTCCTTCACTTTGTCGTCGCAGGTAAAGGTTAGTTCGTACAAGGCTGTGGGACTCCTCTTCTAGTCTTGAGAGAGTAACTGGTAGTAGACTTGCTTTCCTACTAGAAACAATTAGAAAACTAGAAAAATATAAGGCACGACCATTTTCTGACAGTGGGCAAGGTAGAACAGGACTGTGATCCCGAGAGAAGGGAGCCCTGCAGTCACCCTGGCTTTCTGCCTAGAGGCACTGCCGGGATCCTGGCACAGCGAGGTGGAACCCCCTGCGGAGCATGGAGGGCTTGCTGAGTTGAGGAGACAGAGGTCAAAGTTTAGGGGGCTAAGGTGGCTGGAATTTGAGAAGCAGGATGTGAGAGAGGGGAGCTATGCAGGAAAAGAGATCCACAAATCTAGATGGACTGCGTACTAAGCTGTGCATGCACAGGGTCAACCTCCACAAGGCTGGGCAGAGAATTACGATCAGCAAGGAGTGAGCTAGCGATCCCCACAGCTGACACAGAACTGCCAGAGGGACAGCTCCGCCCTGCCCAGGCCGGGGAGAGTCCCGTGGAACAACCCGGCACGCAGCAGAGACACTGAGTGTCTTACTGTTCAGGGCGAACTCCAGACTTGCGTGGATAAAGCTTAAAAACAATTCTCAAAATGATCAAGTTGATCCACAAATACAATAACTGCCTACCAAAACAATATATTGTTTTTTAAAGGAAGACAACTAGATCTAGACACTCAAGCTAGTAACATTCATAATGGCCAGCAGCCAACTGACAAGCTACGAATCAAGCAGAAAAATATGACTTGTAACCAAAAGAAAAATAAGTCAACAGAAACAGACTCAGAACAGACAGAGATGATAGAATTAGCAGAAAAGGACTTTAAAGCATTTACTATAAAGGTTACTATCAAGGAAAAATAAAAACATGAATAATATAAGGAGATAAATGGAAGATATATCTGAAGAGAGAGAGAGAGAGAGAGAGAACAGAGAGACAGACTTCTAGAGCAGAAAAATACAATGTCTGAAACAACAAATTCACTGGATGGGCTTAACAGCAGACTAGACATTACAGAAGAAAAGATCAGCTACACAGCAACAGAAAACTATCCAAACTGAAGCAAAGTTTAAAATAGTTTAGGAAAAAAACAAAAAAACCAGAGCCGCAATGACCTGTGTGGCAATTTCAACTGATACAACCCACATACACGTAACTGGAGTCCCAGGAGTGAGAGGGGGAAAAAATATACTCTGCCCAGAGAAATAATGGCTAAAATTCTCTGAATCTGATGAAAACAATAAATCGACAGACTCAAGAGGTTCAAGTAGATAAGCACAAAGTAAGCCGCACCAAGGCATATCCTAACCAAATTGCTGAAAATAAAAGATAAAAATAAATAAACCTTAAAAGCAGCCAGAGAAGAAAAAGACACTGCATGCCGGGGAACAAAGATGAGCAGCACCACTGCCTTCTCCTCAGAAACAATGCAAACCAGAAAACGCGTAATGTGAGTGCTGAAAGGGGAAGAGGTTGTCAGCCTAGAATTCTGTATCAGGTGAAAAGACGTTTTCAGACAAGCAAGGCTGAGAGAATTTGTTGCCAGAGGACCTGCTCTACAAAAAATGTTAAATGAAGTTTTTCGGGCACAAGGAAAATAATACCAGATGGAAACTGAGTTCTACACAAAGGAATAGAGTGTGGAAATGGTAAACATGTGGGTTTTTTTTTTTTTTAAAAAAGGCTTTGATTTAGCCCCAGATATAATCTCCTCTCTAGTAAGTTTCTTGTAAAAACCACACACAAACGTTATCGTTTCTCTTGAGTTTGAACACGGGCCTTAGCAGTGCCACAGCTACTGGCCTACTCAGTGCTGTTTCTCCTTTGCTGGCCATGCCAGCCATTCACTGGCTACTCCGCATAGTGCACTGAAGATGCAAAGACAAGACGTGGTGTCTGCTGTCAGGAATTTAGAGCCCGGAGGGAAGAACATTCAAGCCAACAAAGAGCTGAAGTGTGACAGTCACTTAGCTCTGTGACTATGGGCAGCTTACTTAACCTCTCTGTCCTTTAGTTCCCTCAACTATAAAATGGGGATAATGACATTACTATCTCATAGGGTTGTTGTGGAGATTAAATGCTTTAACATCTATAAACTGGTAGACCAGTGCCTGATGTATAATTAACACCTAACAAACATTAGCCATTGCTGCTGCTGTTACTATGTTGCCCAGGAGGTTGTAGGAGCACAGAGAAAGATCAACCAATGAACCTGTATGTGTACATGGGTAACCTAGGAATACAGACAATGGGGTGGTGAAGGCCTGGGGTGGGGCGGGGGCAGGCTGGGAGAGGTCAATGGGGGAAGAAGGGGACATAGGTAACACTGTCAACAATAAAGATTCTACAAGAAAGAACGTTTACAACTCAGTAATAAAAAGACATGTAACTCTTTTTTAAATGAAAAAGAGGGAGTGGATGGGAAGGGAAGGCATGGCAGAGGAGGTGATGCTTCAGCTGATTTTTGAAGGATGAGGACTGGTAGATAAAGAAGGGGTGAGCCCTAGCTGGTTTGGCTCAGTGGATAGAGCGTCAGCCTGCGGACTGAAGG